TGTCAGTTCTGCCCTCAAAAGGACTGTAAAAAACATACTGTGTGCTGCAGGTGTTAGAAATATATCTGCAAAGGCTGTGCACTTGCATTCTGTGCACAACTTGCACGCCCTACATGTGCTAATTAGTTGAATGGGTTATGTTATTTTTCATATTTTTGTATTGTACATTCTCTTAAATTGTTCACTGGAGAAAAGTAAAAGAAAATTGATTCATTGAGATGAATAAAAATGCATTCGAAACACCTTTTTGCAKATTTTTTTCCTTTCTTTAGTTATAGAAATTCAAGTGGAGAGGGAAAACTCAAGTATTCACACATTTTGTGGTGAATGACAATATACAAGATGAAATTTGGTGTTTAAAATTCAATTAAGCTGCTTATATTGGGGATTTAGTGGAGACGGGTCATTTTGACCCGGAGGACAAAGGGTGTATACAGAAAATGAGGACAACAGGAGGGTTAATCAAAACAGTAACACGAGTTCAACGTGTTCATCAGACAATTGTTTGATCTTTGAGCTATAGAGACAAAAAAATCGTACAAGTGATTGTTTGCATAAATGTTATGACATTTAGTCAGGCTACCACTGGTGATGCTCTGAAGAAAATCTGGAATCAACTATTTACAAGTTAATTATACTAAATGGCATCAAGGAAAAAATGTCAACTACACATGTCTTTGTTTATACTAATAAAAATAGCTGAAGTGACTGAAAATAGGTCAACTTAATGGAGGACGTCTATAGAAAAGCTGTCTGGGATCAAGAAGTCTAACACTTGAGTTTTTGTGCCTATATGCTGGGATGTAGATAAACTTCATGCTTATTTTTATGGCTGATTCAGTCGAGTGCTTAGTTTACATTTAATTCACATCTTTAATCATTACATCTGATTAAAAAAATGCTGGAGTAAGCTTTTTTTTAACTGCACCTTTTGATATAATAATTCAGGATAACCTTTTTCATGTGGACAGGATGTCCCTTAGACACCTCCCTATGGAGGTTTTCCAGGCATGACCATCCAGGTGGAGACCTTTGGGGAAGACCCAGGACATGCTGGAGAGACTAAATCTCTATAGCTGACCTGGGAGTGCATTGGAGTGCTTCTGGAAGCCTTTTTTTTTTTTGTGGAAAAATATGTCTGGGCCTCTCGTTTAAGCTTTGCTCCAAACTAAAACTACTTGAATAATCAAGCTTACAAAACAAGCTGCGTTGAGCCGATCTGTTTATGCAAGATGAACTCCCGTGCAAATCCCTCTCCCTTTCCTGCCTCCGGAGGATTGTTGGCTTTAAAATGTTTTGGTTGCATTTAATTTTCAGCTCAGTTGAGTGTGTTGTGGCACTAATTTGTTCAATTCATGGCATAAACGTATGTTTTCTGCAGGTGACCACTAACCTGGAGTCTTTGA